TTGGGCTTCAGAGTGTCAGATTTTTTTTGGTTTTCAGTGTTAGTATTTCTTTTTCTTTTTTAAACTTTGGTCATGAGCGGGAGTATGCAGGGCGAGCACCTGAACAGTTCATGCATTTGGAAAAATTACTTGCACAGTTGTCAGTAGGGCGATCATTGCTTGAACATTTTCCGCAGGTTGTCCGTCCCTACAAGTGGCTGCCCCATGTCCGAAACCCTGGCAGCTAAAGCAACGTCTCGAACAGAGGATATACGGTTGAACCCTGCAGTTGAGATATCCTGCCTTGACCGCCTGGGGGAGGGTCGTGGAGTTAAATGTAAGCACAAGGTGTTTCGAAGGCTTCTCTTGATCATCGCGATGAAAGGTAATACGCTTCACTGCTATCATACCTTGATTGCTGAGCCCTTCAAGGATCTCATCCTCCATGCTTTCCAACAAATCATCTTCAAAGATCACGCTCCAAATAGTGTTGAGAGATCTGTGCAGCGTTACTGTGACTTTGTGATCAGCTATACTAGTACCGGTAAGTCCAAAAAGGGCTATACTTTGTTGCTTTTTTTCAATCTCGACAAGGAGGTCTCCAGAGTGGAGCTTCTTTGGTTTGTAAGATTTTCCAATAGATGCTTCCAGGGTTTTTGCAACAAGGAATGGGGAGAGCTTTCCAAGTGGTAGTCTGCATTCGTGGTAAAATACTAAGAACTTTTGGAAGGCTCGAATATTATCAGTAGTCTTTAAAGGAACGGTGGCTTCGGTGCGAACTCTTTTCAGAGATCGATCAAAAGAAGGTTTAGCTTTAGAACCCATAAAAAAATGGGAGACATTCGACACCTGCGGTGTGCCGCCCACCATTGAGCCTAACATGGGACAGGGTAACGGCACATAACAAAAATGGCTTTGATGTGCACGTTACTCCAGTAGCACCTACCCAGATGTTATACTCAAGAGTGGGTCTAGACTAGCCTCCCTCTCCACTCAAGGTTGCCCCTTGCCACCAAGAAGGTGAAAGGGGAATGAAGAGAAAAGAGAGGGATATAAATAAAGGGGGAAGTGAAAGAAGGAAGAAGAGGGTAGAAGAGGAGAGTGACTGAATTATCCTGGCCGGGCCTTACCAGGACACCAGTCTATGAGAAGCGGGGGCCAAAGTGATGTATTGCCTCACCTGGGGGGCCCCGAAGGGTCCAAACCTAACCCGGGCTCGACTCAACAACCAAGAAGCCCTTTTCCCCAGACACGGGAAAGCCACGCACAGCCAGACGTGGGCGGGCGTGCCCGCATGGCTCGGGATTTGTGATGACGCCATTCACCAAACACCTACTAACGCACGTGCCCCCTGCGGAGCCTGCCATCTTGGAAGTTCGACGAACTGCAAATCTGATGCTTATCAGGGTTCAAAATTTTACACCGAAGCTTTTTTTTGCTGTTCCTAGGCGAAGCTACCACATGACCTCTTGCCTATTTTGCCCGTCATTGGCGAGCCCCAACTAGCGTCGACTGCCACGGCCCCCCACTTTGTTGTTTGTGGCTTCGGAAAGCGAGCAAAGCGTGCGACGCAACCACTGAGAGGAGCTCCGCCTTCAGCACCAGCTCGCTGCCTCCCGTGGTGCTTTGATTGCGCGTGCACACTCGTGTTAGCAAGGGCAGAAGAATCGAGGCGGAGCGGTGAATGAAGTTTGTCCAGGGCGCCCTTCTCTAGAATGAACGGCGCACGAGCCACAAAGTATAGAAGGCTTTTGGCTCTCGAGTCTAGTCCGCTGTCCATCGCTGCTCCATCGGAGGAAAACGCGCAGGCTGCTCGAGTCAATGTTTTTAGATCTAAAAATGTTGGCTCGAGTTTTGAACTAAATTTCATAACCAGTGTTTGGGTATGTGCATTTAGGTTGACCGTACGCCATCCAGTGTACATAGAAAGCCTTGTTTATGTTTGAAACAGTAGCCTAAAGATAAACAAGGTCTGGATGCTTCCAGGGAGCCTGTTGAACCCCATTTTCAGGGCCCTCGAGTTTAGTTGTTGAGTGCTGCTTGCGCTCTCGCTGTGTCCGGTTCCGTGGTGATTCTATTCCTGCCTGTGGCCCAGTATTTTCTCTGTCCTATGATTTATGGACCTCTGGAGAAATAGCCTGCCTTAAAATGAGCGTCGTCTTTCCCACCAGCCAGAAGTTGTGGCCAGTATCGAGTACATAGTACCGAGGTAGCGAACATTAAATGAACTTTATGGCACGTGTAAGGTTCGTAGTAAAACTTCCGGAGCTCAGCTCGCGATATTTACGAAAACTCCGGTTTTCGCGAGATTCAAGGACTTCGAACTTCGCGAACTTAGGCTCCAAAAAAATTCAATCTTTTCGAACCTGAAGCTCGAAAAAATTTTAAATTATTGAATCTCAATGTTAAAAAAAGTTGAAACCGTCGATTTCAAATTTTAAAAAACCTCAATGACTTCGAACGTTACAAATTCAAATCCGGGCAGTTTCGAAAGTTACAAACTTTGCGAAATCGAACCCATGAGGTGTTTGCAAAGTTTGAAAACCGTCGAATTAGAACTTCGGATGGTTCATGACATCCCTAGTTATGATTAAGAACAGACGATAGTAGAATCCTCTTTAGTGCCCCTTTTAAGGGTGAAAGGAGTATAGTTGGGTACAAACGCTATCATCATCATCCCACAGGGATAATTTCAATTTCGCCCGCAAATCGAAAAAAAAAAAAAAATATATATATATACATATATATATATATATATATATATATACATATATATATATATACATTTTTTGACAAACATTATTTTTGTGTTATGACAGTTCTAACCAGGCAGGAAGAAAAACAAAAATTTTCCTAGGGTGAGTGTCTTTTTTTAAACTTTCCAAAAGTGCACTGTAATGTAGATTTAAAATTGTTAAGGGTGGTTATTCTAAAAAGATGTAGTAGGTATTGTTACATCTGTTAATAGTATTAGAGTAAATGCTTTTTCAGAAATTAGATTCACTCTAAATGATATAATGATATCAACAAAATTATATTAACAAAATTCTACAACTGATGCTTTTAAAATTAAAGAAGTATTAACTGATGGTACTTCATTTCATTTAGTTCACATGAATGGAGAGGGCAGCAGTGATGTGATTTGCCTAAGCCATTTTGGAGCATCTTTTGAAGCAGCCAAAACAGTGTTTTGGAGCAGCAAAAGAGGCCTTTGGAGCAGCCAGAACAGTTTTCGGAGTGCTTTGTGCAACGACTGAACTCGAGACAAACAAGCGCGCTGTGTGGGTTCAGTGTGCAGACATTGCCTTCTTTGCCTTAGTTCACTTCTCTTCACCAACTTTCTTTCGCAGCAGATTTTTAACGTACCGGGGTCCCTCTCGAAAGAAAGCCCACCGAGAGAAATCTAGGAAATTAGTATTTCGACAAGCAGTCTGAGTTAAAGAGGGATTTTTGTAATAGAGTATGATTTAAAGAAAGACAAGAATGTCAATGAATAAGTTTAGAAAGCGCCTTATCTGCAGTGACGTGGGGACGGCAACACTCGACGTTGCGCGACCACGGTAACTGTGGTCGCGCCAGTGTTTCAGCTCACGAAATAAACAAAACGTGGTTTTGTTTCCCAGCATGAGGGCATGGCTGGCACCCGGCACACTAGCATCGAAGCGTCCGCATACACCCGCGCCTATTGTGGAAAATATTGAAAAAAGATGCGAGACAAGATTCCCGAGACGATGAGGGTGCGAAACGCGAGACGGCGGGAAAAACCATGCAAGACCGGATGAGCGACTGATGCAGGGTAGTTTCTATCGGGCGACCGCTTGCGCATGCACCTAGCTTACGCATGCTCAATTACGGTTCTCAGCTTAGTTTCGGTTTTGAGAGGCGACTGAAATTGGTCCTTTAGCGCAGGGTTGGCGCAGATTACCCATATTTTGTCAAAATGTAGCAGGATGTAGCAGGGTTAGTCCCTTGGCGCAGTGTGGTGCAATTGGTGCAGCAATCACATCACTGGAACATACTTGGTAGGCAAATATGTGAGCAAGATATGGTTAAAAATTGTAGAGCCCTTCCACTTCACGTGAAGATGGAGAACCAGTGAAGCTATTATTTTTGTGACGTCTAGGACGATGCCTAGAGGACGACGTCTAGGACGACCTCAAGGACAACTTCTAGGATGACCTTAAGGACAATCTCGAGGACTACACCTAGAGGACGATGCCTAGAGGACGATGTTAAGGACGACCTCAAGGACGATGCCTAGAGGACATGTCTAGAACGTCCTCAAAGACGACTTCTAGGACGACCTCAAGGACGATGTCTAAAAGGAATTGTAGGATGACTTCTAGGACGACCTCGAAGATGACACCTAGGATGACCTCTTGGAGGACCTCCAGTATGACCTCGAGGACGACTTCTAGGACGACCTCAAGGATGACGCCTAGAGGACGACCTCAAGGACAACATCTAAGACGACCTTAAGGACGACTTCTAGGATGACCTTGAGGGCGACTCCTAGGACGACCTCGAGGGAAACGTCTAGGACAACCTCAAGGACGACTTCTAGGATGACCTTGAGGACAACACCTAGAAAAAGAAGCCTAGGACGACCTCTCGGATGTCCTCAAGAACAATTTCTAGGATGACTTTGAGGACGATGCCTAGAGATGATAACAAGAGATCAGGAGCTCACAACCTAATGCCAAGAAAGGCAGACTCACACTGGTTGCCCCTTTTTGTTTTTATTTATTCATATCTGACCCCTCATTTTGTTTTATTTATTATTTATTCATACTTGCCATGACCAATGGGGAGTTTTCTGTTGACATGTGAGGACACATTTCTTTCCAGACCCAAGCGATGACAGCTTCGCTGTAATATATTCCCGTTTCTTTCTATCTCACCTTTGGCATTTTTTGGACCCCAATTCCCACCTCATTTTAAGATAATTTTGGAAGTCATTGTGGGAACAGGAGACTGCTTCTACTTGCACGTTCTACACTACTCGGGCCACTGCAACTCACCCGTTGCAGGGGCCTCGACTGGGCTACGATGCTCCTGGTCCAAGATGGCCGCCACCCTCGTAGACCTCCGCCGCCTGGGCCTCCGCCCCGGCCTCTGTGGGGTCAGCGAGTCCGATGTCTCCAGGCTGCTGCACGAGCTGCCCTCCTGGTCCGCGGGGCCGGGCGGGGGTGCCTCCACTGCCTTGGAAGGCGAGGCACCTTGCACGCTCACTGCCGGCAATGCATGCTGCTCAGTCGCCTGCCGCTGGGGAACGACGAGTTCCGATGGCAGAATGGGCTGCAGCGTTGGCACGGAGACGACCGGCTCCGGTGCCGGCATGTTCGACTTCCTCGCCAGCTGAAGTCTGAGTGCTTTAGGCTGCAAAACAAAACAAAACCACTCGCAATAAAGACAGAGAAAGAAAGCACCACTGTCCTAGGTCTCCGACAGGGTGAGAACGGCAAGGAAGTCTTTTGGTTGTCTTGCCACCGGCATGAGCTTCACACCGTCATTAAAGCTTCGGCGTCTCATGCTGAATGCCGAGCATCGGACACCCTGCTGTTCTCGTCTGTGACCACAGGATTGGTGGATTGATTGATTGGGGGTTAAAGGCACATCATCATGTAAGGCTATAATGCGCAAAGAGCCAGAAATGTTGCTGTAGGAGGGTTAAAGAGAGTGACCAGAGGAGGGTCAAAGCTATGGACATGCAGAATGCCAAGAGGGCTGAGAGGGCTACTTAGATTAGGAGGGTAACCTGCCCGACCACATTTGTGGGGCTGCGTTGAGCCTACTGAAGCGAGGGCGAAGCGGCGGGAATGCTTTGTAAATGGCTTTTGGAGCGTGGGCCCGGCCAAATCTGATAAGCAATCTCTTTTCTATATCTTTGCCGTTGACATAGATCTGACTCTATCTGAAAGAGAGGACAAGTGAACAACTCTAGTATGTCAACACTTTGGTCATGCAGCTTGGAGGAGGAGAGGAGCGAGAGAGAGAAAATGCCAAACTTATTACTCAACGAATGCGAAAAGAGTAATAATAGACTACAGATAATTTTCACTTCTTGTTGGCAGAGTACTGCCAGAAATCATAATCAAATTTCCAGAAAAAAGAAGAAAGCTAAGGGACGTTCAGAATGGAGTGCCAGTCAAAGGCAAACACAAGCATTTAGTAGAGTTACGCAGATTGCGTGAATAAAGAGCTGGGGTAGTGATGGGAAAGTTTGCACGACTCTTTCTGCTGCTGTCGAGCAGATGATTATTACTTATATCCTCTCCCAAAGCAGCAGTAAGTGTTCGCGTCATTCACATCTTCATAGACGGGCACAAATTCTAGGCTCCAATAAATATAACAAAGATTGCTTGTGAGTGCTTGTCATCTTAGTTCTCCAGTTGTCCACTCTGACTGTGACACAAACAGATAGGACACATGAACCGCTAGTATGTTCTAAATAAATTGGGTTCTTTAATAATTCTGTCATCAGTGTCTCACACACAAGTTTACACCTATCGTGATATCCAGAGAGATGCCCCACCCCTGAAAGATAGCTCACCCTTCATAAATGCAGGGCTCTCGCCCATGGTGACCTCGGCAGAATTGGAGTTACTCAACCATAGCGAGAGATAAGCAAACATTGCAAACTGGGAAGGACAGTTATTAATGCTCAAGTGCCCCTCAATGTGAAAACAAGTTTGGAAGGTCACAGAATTTAAAAGTAGCATTCTTAAAAATTTTACCTGATTGCACACCAAAAGTTACCGTGTTTATTCAAATATAAGTCGACTTTTTTTTTTGGAAATCATGATTAAAGGAGCGGTGCAACGATATTCAGCTGGAATGTTTTTTTACTTTAGACGAGCTTACTGGCACTACTGGGGCTCAAGGTTACTCGCACGCAACGCCACTGGCCAAGAAACTCCTTTGTTATGGTGTCATTTCAAGGACAAAAACTATCATTTTCATTCAATCTCTCCTTTGCAAAATTTGATGACGTAACGTGAAGATCGCAGTACACCCATATGACAATATTTGAATGCGGCTCATAGATTGGACCCGAGCATTGCGCGAGCTCTCAATTTAGGCTCGTGATGATTACTGGCCCGAGAAGCATTCGGGTAGTGGCCCGTGTCCAATCGCTGCAACGACGACAATAGCCGAGCCATAACAATGTCAAACGTGAAAACAGCGCAAAAAATTGAACAAAGGACAAGTGAAAGAAGTGCATGGACAAAGCGCTGACTGTCAACTAAAGTTTAATTTTCAGGCGAACCAGAAAAATAAACACAGAACATAGGAAAGAACCAATAAAGACACAAAAGATTATACAACCCAACCGACAGGATTTCTACCACGTCATCCCCCTCACACGTGCCTGCCATTCTCCCTGATAAAAAGGACCTCATCATCCCCCAAGTGCACCGACGGTGCGCTCACACATTGCCCTTCCCCTTTAGATAAAATGAAAAATGCCTCTTCAATCTCCCTGGCGGTCTTACTTTTATTGCGCGCCATGATCGTCAAGTCATGAAAAACAGGTACGCAGCCGCACCTACTGCAATGTACCACTAAGTGGCCAGCAGGGGAGGAACGGAGAAAAAGGGAATGCTCCCTCGACCTCACGTTCACGCACCTCCCCGTTTGTCCAATGTACTATCGGGGAAAAATTAAATGCGAACAGAGGAGCGCGTGGCTCGCGGTACAGGCTGTGCCGCCTGGAAGTGAGCCTAGGAGCGAGGGTGCGTGGCCCACTCCGACGTGTTCCCGCCCCTCCCTCTGCGCTCCCCCAGCTTCAGCAGTGCGCCACTAAGTGCGCTGAAAGCTATCACCGCTATCTTTGCTGGCTCAGCGCGTGCGGTGCAAAGAAGCTCGCCGCACTCGCCGAGCAGGCAAAGATAGCGGTGTCAGCTTTCAGCGCACTGAGAGGCGCACTGCCGAAGCTGGGGGAGCGCCAATCGAGGGGCGTGAACACATCGAAGTAGGCCCCGCACCCTCGCCCCTAGGTTCACTTCCAGGCGGCGCAGCCTGTACCGGGAGCCACGCGCTCCTCTGTTCGCATTTCATTTTTCCCTGATAGTACACCCGACCACATGTGAAGGGGATCTGATACACAACCCCCATTGCGCATGGTACAAAAGGAGTGCGGTGGTTCAGTGCGGTGGTTTTATCAGGGAGAATGGCAGGCACGTGTGAGGGTGATGACGTGGTAGAAATCCTGTCGGTTGGGTTATATAATTTTTTGTGTCTTTATTAGTTCTTTCCTATGCTCTGTGTTTATTTTTCTGGTTTGCCTGAAAATTAAACTTCAGTTGACAGTCAGCACTTTGTCCGTGCACTTCTTTCACTTGTCCTTTGTTCAATTTTTTGTGCTGTTTTCACGTTTGACGATGTTAAACCAACTAGCCCAACTTACCGCCTTGTTGCCATAACAATGTCTGGAACTCAGCGCGTGCCCTGTGCTTTGCCAACCCCAGCGCAGGCTATGATCAACATTGGCGGCATATAATCGCCTCCAGATCACGTGGCCGCTTGTCCTGGCTGCGAGTTGAGGGAATGAACGCTGCTCGTTTTTCTTTAATTTTTTTCTGGGACTTCTATTGCAAGGGGTGAAAAACAAACGCGCATTTCATAAGTGATTAATGTTAGGGATCCCTTCTAAGCGGTATTTGCGCAAAGTACAAAAATTGTTGCATCGCCCCTTTAAAGAATTTTGACCTATATTCGCGACCAAATTTTGCGACCCTACCGGAGACATGGAGCTATAGAGTCACCGAGCCGGCATTGCCGTAGAGCCGCGCCGCTTCTTGTTTCAAAAAGCTTTTGGTGCATGAAAACAACTGAAATGGCCCGCTCGCAGTGGCCGGTGCCGCTATCACGCGCATCTCTCAGGCGTCGAGTTTCGCCATAGCGCCTCTAGCCACTAGCGTTCCCCTTGCTGGGCAACAGGGAAGGAGAGGAATGCGATGCGCCATGCACTTTGCCTTCCATCCTCGCAAACGCGCACAAAAAAAAAAACAACGGAGGTTACTTTTGTTTGTTGCTTGAGGTGGCTCGGCCAACGCTCGGCTCGCGTGTTGCTCATGGCGACACGGCGGCTTTGCTTGCGTCTTTGTAGTTTGTCTTTCGTCGCTTCGCGCCTTTCTTCGTTTCTTCTGGTCGTCATTTTACAACGGTGTCAGTGAAGTATTGTTGCGAATTTGCGAGGATGTCTACTAAGCTGACAAAGCTTCGGACGACGATGACATGTCCAGAAGTTCTGACTGTGATTAAGTTTTTCGCATCGCGCCATGATTTAGCTGAGAGTGATGTAAATAAAGGTTTGTTTCTTTTGCCCAAAATTTCCCCCGTTCTCTTAAAAATAAAAAAAAAAAAGGTCGACCTATTTGAATTATTTTTTTTATTCTCGGTGGGTCCAACAAATAGGGTTCGAACTATTTTCGAGTAAATACGGTAGCCCACTTCTTATTTTCACACTACAGTCAAACCCGTTTAAAACGAACAGCGGGAAACGCTACGATCAGTTTGATATAGCAATAAGTTTGATATAGCAAAAACCATTTACAACGAGCTTCGACGATGCGATGCCCTCGTTGAAAGGCCGAGAGCTTCTCTTTCTTTCTTATCTTTTCATTTCCACCTTGTAACAACACGCTGCAAAGTTTTTTTGTTTTTTTTTCATGCGTGCAGAGTTTGTTTTTTTAGCTTATTTCCTCTACTGAATCACTTTGCTTTGTGGACAAACGTTTTGGGATGAAAGGTGATTTTTTTTCTCTGCGTCCGTGCAGAGTGTATTGTTTAACTTTCTCTCTTTATGAATCGCTTCCCTTCGCTCAATTTTTGTTTGCAACTTGACTTTTTGGAATTTTCTTTCTTTTCTACTTCTTTTTGGGAGGAAGGGACAGGCTAGAAGTTGATTGCTTGCGCGTTTTTAAAAGCCTTCCCGGAGGGGGGGGGGAGGAAAAGTTTGATAGAGCCAATAAGTTGCTCGTTATAAAAAATACTTTTTACATTCATTTTGATTTAAATTTTCCATGAGTTCGATATCGACAATAATTCGCTGTACGTGGGTTCACTCTAAATGGGTTTCACTGTATTTGCTCTTGCTTTTAGGCGGGCTTTTCTTCGGGATATTACGGTAGGCCAAAAATAGTTACAAATGTGTTGCAGGCTAGCAACACTGTTGCTGACACTCAGTTCAACATGCATCAGTTTATGTATCCTGAGATCTAATGTAACAGCAAAGGTCCTTGCCTCGACCAGCTTCTTGGGAAGTGTCTTGTCATCCAGTCTGAAGCTCACAGTCTGTGCCCTCCAGTTCAGCTGACCCACGACAATGGCGGTGTAACTTTTATGAAAGCTGATTGGATTTCCTTCCAATCTCAGCTGCAAAAACAAAAAAGCAAGGTAACAAAAAAATTATGACTTAAAAGAATTAAGCGAATCAGATTTGTTTGATATAAATCAGATTTATTTGATCTAAAGGAGTCATGAAAAAGGAGTATATCTGCCAGATTCTTAATTCTTCGATATTCATTAAAGCACAAAGACGTTGATTTTGAAGTATGTATTACAGCGAAATATTGCGTCTGAATTTTATAAACTGCGTTTAAGAATCACATTTTTTGGACTGCGTGAAAAGACCTTGCAACACACTGCGGCAGCATAAGCAACAAAACGCCACGATAGCCAAGTAAACAGGTCAAACAGATGTTCAACTTCATTTCATCTTCAAACAATAAATTGGGCAATCTTCCAACAATAAATTTATTGGCAATCTTGTATTAGTTGTATGCCACTACATCACATGATAGCAATATACTAGTTTCGGTTTCAAACACATTAGGGTCCTCTGTCATTTGGTAACTCTCGTAACCGTGCTGCTCATCTCGCCGCGGTTTGGATTCATTGTGGAACTTGATTGAGGATTAGAATTATAATAATACAAATCGAAGCAATAAAAAATTATAATCCCAGGAGGAATGGAACCTGGAATTTTGTGAAATCGGTAGTGAGAATGACCTCTCGACTATCAGCACATCTGTTTTGGGCTGTTCTTTCTGCAGGTGCAACCCTAGGCTGTAGTAGCGAGTTTTATAACCATTTTTCTATACCACAGTCTTCCTCCGAAGTAACTTGATGTGCCACTACTCAAGTTCGCAAAAGCAATTAATTTCTCTCATATTTCCAGCCTTCTCGTCCTTTTTCTGTGAGCAAATCAGCAATTTTTCAGTCGAAGCGAGGACGTACTTCGTCTGGTTATTTGACGATTGCATCGGGATGCGACTCGACCGATCGAAGTCGCAAGTGATTCCCTCAAACGCTCCCTTGTTGCAAGACATACGGCAGCACAAACAACATTCGCTGTCGGCGTACGGTTCAAAATCTAAAAGCCGACTGAGGTGTGATAGGCGGCGCTAGAGCTCAATGAGGTCGGCCATCTTGCTAGTATCTGAGCATAATGTCAGACGTCAGATGTCATCAGTTGACTTGATGCGTGATATCATTATGGCGCTGCTGTTGGAGCGATATCTGATGCTCTGGCTTCACCCATGAAGTCCAGCCTACGTCGCCATTTTGCTCAGACAACAAAAATTTCCCATTGGTTAACTATCGTGACATATTTATTTGCTTTTTCTTTTGCATTCTGATATGCTTGCAACAGGAGTAATTAACAAACAAAGTGGGAGGTAGAAAGAAGTCCAATGCTCCCATTTGCTCAGGAAATCACCGCTACTTGCTCATGTAGTTTGATTCATGCTTCGATTCAACGACAAAAAACCCCAACAATTTGAAGTTCTGTACTCGAAACCCACAAATTCTTCAACAGGACTCCTAGGGACCAAGAGGTTTCTTGAGGTCCCAAGTCCCCTCGACCAGGGCGACTCTGAAGTTTAAGCACAGTTTAAGTGAAGCGGAGTCATGCACCGATGCATAACCAAGAATTAAACGCTTGCATCCCAATTTCCGGCATCTTCAATATTGTTGAAAAAGTCTATAAGCTTCGAACTATCTTACATATTTTTGATATATTTTATTGCAAAAATGCCGAGAAGATGCAGTACCTGGGCTTCAAACAGTGTTCCCCAAGCTTAAAAAAAAAGTTTGGAAACCCCACACGATTAAAAAAACTAGCACGAAATTTGCCTCTAAGGTCACTGACAAGATGAGACTGGTAGGGCACCCCTTACTAATGCCCGACCTCCAATGTGTGCTTGTTGCCTTCCACCGTGCTTTGGCTGCGCATGCACGCTTGAGGCTCGCAAGACGCATCATAGAGGGTGGAGAGCTCGAACTAGAGACGGGGCAACTGAAACTCCTCCCTGTCATCCTCATCCTGTCAGTCAATGAAACATGTTATAAAAACACCGAGCTCCCTTACCATTTCCAAGTTCGGAAGCTGCTTAAAAGCTGCCAAGGAATCGCCGTCGGCCAGGCAGTTGTACGCCAGATCCAGTTCTTTCAGCTGCCGCAACCCCTCGAGTCCTGAAATCCCATTATCCACAAGGGATGCCGCGACTAGGGTTTTTGGATACCTACAACATTCAAGGCTTCATGATTCTGTAAGCAGCAGCCCTTTACATAAAGATCTGCAAAGTCAACTTGTGGTATTAAATACGGGTTCGGACGTCCTAATCTCGAAGGTTCAGCTTATCTGCACCATTATTTTTATTTGCCAGGGTAATTCCGAAAGACATGAGTGCTTGCCAGAGTTCACTGAAAAGGCATTCAAAGGAGTAATTGAAGTCATTGAATATAATCTCAAGTTGTCGATCTGGGCAGTGGCTTTGCCTCCCACCAGCTAGGATGACAACTCATCTATATAATGTCCCACTGGTCTTTATTTGTGGCCCTGGCAGAAACAGATGACGAAAGTTTTGCAAATGCACATTGTGCCGGATCGCCATGCATGCTTGGTAAACTCATGCAGCGCCATGCGCCGGCACAAATCTCTGCAATTGGCACTGCTGCGACCTGGGTTGCCATGGCAGTAAAGCAGTGCAACGCGGGCGAAGAGACTGATGTTCAGCATGAAAACAATTCAAGGAGGGGGGAAGGTTGAAGGGCAACTCTGTCTGGCTTACCCCCCCCCCAGATCCAGATAAACTAAGAGACTAACTAAGAATGGCAGCTCTTACGAGCTCCAAGTAAATGAATGAATCCAGAAAAACTAAACATTTTGTAAAAAAGTTTAGTTGGACACAGCCATGCACATTTCACAAACCAAATCTCCTTAAGTGAAATCCATACTCTTAGAGTGATGACAAGAAGGTAAATTAAAGGCGATTGATTGTAATCCTTGAATATAAGATCACCTAATTTTCATTTGAGCAGAAAAACAGCATAAAATCAACAAGGCAACATCAAAGTAGCATCCTTACCCCGAGTGCTTTCGATACAGTTGTTCCGCAGGTACAGTACTGTGAGGGACTCGCGGGCTCTTTCGTGAAATATGTTGACGTGCTCCAGGAAATTAAAGGACAGGTTGAGGATCTTGATGTTATGAAGGCACTGCAAAATCACAAATTCCTGATTCAGAACCAATGCCTCTCAGATCAGCCTCGGATAGCACCAATGATTTCAAACAAATGCATCTTTCACCTGTACACCCGTAGCTCCCGATATGGAATTGTTGCTACAGTCGAGACATTGCAGCTTTGGGAGCAGGGACTGCAAAAAATGTAGGCATTTTGTAAAACGATCGACCTATCATAAAATACCAAGTGAGTGTCCACTTAAAAAATAATAATTTTTGTAAAGCTGAGGGACGGGTGCTTGTCAGGTCCAAAAGATCTTTTCACCCTCCGTCGCATGGGCTCTGCCATCTTGGAATCACGTGACGCGGCCGCTATAAGGTGGATACAAATCCTCGCTCCTCTCTCCCCTCAGCGCCTTAAGAAAGGCGTTGTATTCATTTTTTTGTGCTTTTTTTGCTGCTTTTTTTAAGATTTTTTTTTTGTCTTGCTTTGTGAATTCGTCTGATGCTTACTCTTACTACGTAACTGCATGCCATCATTATGTGCACAACTTCTGCACTTTATTTTATAACAGGTTATGACTATTTGCACCGTCAATGTACTGGATATGTGTGAGGAAAGGAAGCAGCATTAGCATTGGCGCACATCGAGTATGTAGATGTATCAAAGACAGACGAGGGTTGAGAGGCCAATTATTTACGGCAGCGCAGATTTGCTTAAGTTATAGTCGCTAAGTGTTAGTGGTGCAATAAGAAGCACAAGGTATATTTATGATCATGCATTTAGGATCTTAAAGAAGGCAAATATAGTCAACACAAGAAGTCACTATGTTTTCCTTGAAAGCATTGTGCTTTGCCTTCATAATAAATTCAAAACAGTTGCTTTTGAATATATATAGGGGAATCATTTTTACAGTATAAACATTTGCTTGAACTGTTTATTTATGAATTTAAAAAAAAAACTATAAGTAAAACCTCGTTATAACAAAATGGGATATAACAAACTAATGGATATAACAAAGCAATCGTAATTCCCCTTGCTTGCTAATAGTGAAGAAATGGACATTGGCTATAACAAACTAATGGTTATAACAAAATAATTACGACCACTCCCTCAACTTTGTTATAACGAGGTTTTACTGTACATTGTGCTTGGTCTCATGTCTGGCAGTCATTCAATTTTCTTAAGGTATCCAATTCAATTAATTTATTTAGACAAAAAGGCTCGGGCTTTCTGGGCGAAAAACGTGTAAAAGACAGCTCATGATTGGCTGACAAAAGCGCCTGAGGCATGCAATATGTGACGCCGAAAAAAAGCCGTGGGGATGGAAATTATTCGAGTGCAGCGTTGTTAAGGCCGGATTTACTCTCGACACCGCTCAAATTAAAAATGTGTATCTGCTCAAACAAATAAAGAACTATCCACCCAAATTCATGAAGTGGTGCTTGGCATTCCACTTGAGCCAGCCAAGCTTGCTGGAGGTCAATTCTCTTGTACCCTTTAATTTTATTTTGCAAATTATACGGAAAACAGACTTCAAACTTCAATTGTTGGGTTTTTCCTTTATATTATGTTCTTAATACGTTGTAGTTGTCAAGGTGGTCCATTACCACTGTATCATTGGTTCTGTACCACGAGGGATACATTTATATAGCAAAACTAAGCGAAAAAGACATGACACACCAACACAGCCGCGATCCCGCTGAAATCGAAACCAATCAAATTGAAGCCACCTTATGGTGCGGTGTCTGTCAGCGCCCTCTGTCTACCGGTCAGATAACTACCGAGATGAAAAGGTCTATAGCATAAGTGCAGAAGGGGCACACGAGAGGGCAGGCTTCACCCCCTTGCACTGGGGTGCTTGGAGAAGTGGCTGAGGAGGAGCAGCACCTCAGTTAACTCTATGGGCTCAGAAGTTTGGGGTGGGTGCTAGATAAGTGCTTTGCTTGGTTTTCAAACATTTCAAAATTAGCGGGTGGGCACTTAGTGTGAAATGGGCACATGCTTGGTACTCTACAGTACTGCATGAAATTTTGCGTCTTGCACCTTTTTAACAACGCGTTACAATTTTGAAAAGATCTCTACTTACAAGGCTGTCATCGAGAGACGTGATGGTGTTGTAGCTGAAATTGGCAATTTTTATGTTGAGCCACGGCTGGGGAACTTTGTTCCGACTTCGGAGGATTTCCTGCAGACATGTAGGGACACTGACTGAGGATCAGACGTGGGAAGGACACAAGACTTAACAAATGTGCTTTAATTCATAAAGATAAATCACACTCAACATCTTGAAAACTCAAGACCGAGGAACAAAAAGAGTCGAGTTTTTAAGACGTTGAAGGCTCGCCAGTTCGCCTGCATGTCATTTCCACGAATCATCATCTTTCACTGTACTCATTCATATTGCTTTTCAATCAAGAAGATCTCTGGTATTTAGAGACTCAAAGGGGTATGGAAATGAAATGACGTGGCCACGAGCTCTCTACCTCTCCCTTCAAAATCGACCAGCGAGAAGTACAATGCATATTGCGCTCGTGACGTCAAGGGCCTCTGCACGGCCAAGGGCACTGTAGTGGAGAACGTTGCCGCTTGGTGGCGTCAATGCGTGACAATTCCAGCTAGTAGTAATATCTGAAGACTGTACGCCCCATGTCCTACACACAGCTTGCCTGTACAGTCATTTATAGGCCACGATCGTATTTTATGTACCACAAGCGTTCAATTCACCGTGTCAGTTTCACACCGCAGCTAGAGGGAACCAATAAGTAGAAAGAACCTTCAGTACCCAGCAATGGCAACGCCTGCAAGCTATGTATATACAGTATTTACTGGGTGCCTACTTGAATGCGTTATTCACAGGGGGGGGGGAGGGGGGTTATAATTGGCCCAGCAGAGGTCCCGGCATTCTCAGATCAAGCTCTTACCTAACGCCTGCAAAGAAAGACGATCTTGATGGTGTGGAAATCACGTTGCAGAAGCACTGTGAAAGCTTTAACATGTACACAACGTAGTAAACGCATCAGCGTAATTTGCCAAGTCACATTCAGGGCTAGGTAACTCCACGAGCGAGCCATACTGCCACAAACTGGCGCTGCTTTTTACCGGCCGATGACGTGGCGGCATTCCAACGGAGCTTCACAGACTGCTATCAGGAACACTCTTGAAATCTAATAATTTGATTTAAAATTAGTTTTCTTGACTTTTCTGCCGGCAGCCGAGAAACACTATCCTAGACAAATGTTTCTGGGCTGCCGCCACAACATAGACCACATTAAGCAAAGAAATAAGAGCAAACAATTCTGTTTCCATAGCCCGTTAATGATGTATAAATAACAACAGCCATATCAAGTGGCAAAACAACATCCAAGGTCTAGGGATTTTTTATATCGCCACTTTTTGTTGAACAATGAAATTCGAAAATATCACTAGGGTAGTGTCTCTGGGACTATAAAAGGGCTATAATCAAGAGCTCAGACATGCATGAAAGGCCATAAAGTAAGAGGCAAAGTTGCTCAGTAAGAATTGCTGCTTACCTTGAGTGACGAAATGTTCCTCTGACAGATCAATGTCTCCAACTGTGCTATTAAGTAACCCAAGCCAACCAGCAGGTGAGGGGGGACTCTCTTCAATTCGAGAATCTTAAGGCCATGAAATTTGGACAGGTCCAGGCTACCCTGGATGGTCTGGGAGCTTTGAACAATCTGTCACAACAAAAACAGGACACGACAGTCGATCGTGAACAATACTATTACAAACTTACAAAAACACCAAACATAGGCCAACAAGTTACCATCCATTATTTCATTAAACTTCGGAATTGGCGGGAAAAACCAGTAGGAGCATGCTTAAATCCGGCATGCACTGTGATTTGACAATACTGTACCCCCGCGGACAATATGGACCAAAACAGCCGATCCGCGCCTTTTTCTGCATCTGCTGTTGTCACAACCTTTATTATCCCTCAAGTTGTCAGGAAAGGAAAGATATGGGGCCTTAACTTCGAATTTTATTCTTAGATCGCACCAAAGATCTATAAAAAAAACTGGCAGGTCTGCCAAAGAAGCGCGAAGGACTATTTCAGCTCATATTAATCCGCAATAGTACTTGTTCCACTAAAGGTTCACCCATTCAATAAGTTTAAATTGCCACCAAATTATCAAATCGAATTTAGGATTTTTGCGTGCCAAACCAACGAATGGCGTCTGGCACACCCCGGCGAGAGACTAAGGGTCAATTTTGGACAGATGGAGATCTTTCGACGTGCAACCAAACTCTCAATTATGTGGCATGCTCTCCGCAATTGCGAGCACCTAGGCCGGGATTGGAACCTGCCAACTGGGGATCCATAGGCCGGCACTCTGTCTTGGAGCCACCAATGACAGGGGCATAGCCAAGGGGGGTGTTTATAGGGCTTCAGCCCCCACCCCCCAAAATCCGGACGTCCCTATAATAAACACATGAAATTTGACTTTTCCTCCCCCTCTCCACACCCCAAGTCATGGAACTCCCAACCACCTTAGCCCCCCCCCCCCCCTTCAGAAAAAATTCCTGGCTACGCCACTGACCAAGGAGGCTCTTTAAACGGGTGTATCTCGAAACAACCCATTCTTATTTGAACCCTTCTCGTTTGAACCCATTCGCAAAACGCCCTTCTTGTTTTAACCTTTCGCGTTTCGACCCTTTCTTATTTATACCCTTCTCATTTGAACCCATTCTCATTTGAACCCTTCTCGTCTAAACCCATTCGCAAAACGCCCTTCGCGTTTTAACCTTTTGCGTTTCAACCCTTTCTCATTTGAACCTGTTGTCATTTGAACATTGTAGTGAGGTATAGAAAGAAGGAAAAACAGTTGAAGGATGAAGGTTGAAGATGAAGTGAAGCGGCACCATCTCTTGCATAGCACATGAAACAATTTTCCTTATGCCTGCGTGCCACCCCGAGTCTGTTGACGTAGCTACGTGGTCACATGGTGACGTGGTTTCAAAAGTGCTAGCGCAGATTCGGTACTTCATTTCTCTTCTGTCGCTGTATGTCGTTAAGATGTCGTCGTGTGGAGCGGATGGAACATTGTGCTAGTCGTGTGTTACTGCTTGTAATGGCCAATTCGGGTGGTCATTTTCCCTGAAAAACAGTTTCCCCATATCTTCGGCAAGGGCGTTTGCGTGGTCAAAGGCTGGCGGGTGCAAGCTTTTCGGGTTGCGCTTCCCAGGCGTGTAGCGGCAATTTACCAGCAGAAGTTTTCCCGAACTCCAAGAAGTCGGGCAGCATGTCTGCCAGACTGTATCCGGTATCGTCACATCCGAATCGGGATAGGGAACCAAACGAAACAATGCTCGCTGAGGCGGCAAATAGCGGGGTTCGAGTGGCAAACAAAGCCATCGAGACAGGCGCCCTTTTGTGCTCTAAGATAGCAAAAACAACGAAGAGAAAGATAATTTATGTCTCAAAGAAAGTCAACATTTTTGGAAGAATTTATCCAGCCTGAACAAGGTACGTTTGCTCTGAGACACGGGCTGCATCATACATCACCTTATTTTACAACTCTGTAATAACAATTTATTACACCGCTGAAAAAAAAGTATGCATAGTGATGCAGTTTGGAACTTAAACACGCATTACAATTTCAAGGAGGGTGGGTGCAATGAGAAGACTGAGGATTCTAAAAAAGGTACTAGAGAATTTTAGTAGATCGTTCCGATACCCCCGATAGCCCCGATAACGATAGTATGCATGCGCAAGGAAGGCGGTGGCGGAGTATCGGGTATCGTTATCGGAGTCATGGGAACGGTCTACTAAAACTTTCTACTAACAATAAACAGAATATGGAAAGCGACGCTGGCAAGCCTCCGTGGCAACAGTTAATCGAAAATCCAAACGAAGTTTATTGAAATTTGACGCACGTGCGAGCAGCACCACACTGATTTATACATCTGCCCTTTCATTGATTTTATATTTTAATATTCTGTCAGCTGTACGGACTGTGGTAATGCCAATATTTTGAAAAGTTTTGTGAAACCGCTTCTGTTTACATACATCTCAAAGAGTCGTAATTTCCGTTGTTGGCGTAAGCAGCGTGCTCAAGGTATCATAGAATGATCGAAGAAGAAGTTAACAGAGCTCACTCGCGACCCAGTCAAATAAAAACACCAGTTCATTGTGCTTTGCATTCGGATGGAGAGGGTCACGTCATGCGCCGCTGGCACGTTTTTGGTCGCTGGTGCCACAGGCAAGGGCTCGAAGGCAATTAATTACCCGAATTCGCCATAAATACCGCAGAAAGATTGCAAGATCATGATGTTGGATTCATTTGGGTTCGAAATGAGAGAGGTTAAAATGAGAAAAGTCTTTCTGACAATGGTCAAAACCAGAAAGTATGTTTTGAGAAAATTTGAAATGAGAAAGGTTAAAATGAGAAAAGTCGTTTTGAGAAGGGTCAAAACCCGAAAGTTTGTTCTGAGAATGGTTTAAATGAGAAAGGGAGAAACGCGAAAGTTGTTTTGCGCTGGGTTGAAATGAGAAGGTAAAAACGAGAAGGTAGAAATGCGAACGGATTCAAATAAGAACCACCCCTTTAAACTAGTGGCAGAGTCATTATCTTTAACATTGTCATTACTACTTTACGATACAGTCTCCAACTGTGCGAAAGGCCCATTCAACAATGTAGTTTCAGGTGGTTGTGTAGGATTCACTTTGGCCAGGCAAACATTGCTTGGTGTGAGGAAATAAATTAACCTTTGTTCGATTCTTGTTGTAGAAAAGTGTATATGGCCGATGTGTGCTTAGCGCTGCTGCATAAACTGTTTATGGCCTAGGTCAGATGTTTCTAAACATTTTGGCTAAGGGGCCGGATCGGGTACTAGTCGCATTCTGGAAAGCCGAAAAATAAACAAGTGAGAATAAATTTTAAATATTTATAGAAGTAAAACTTGATAAGCATTTAAATGCAAAATAACAAATTAAAGCAAAAATTAAAAAAAAAGAATTGTAAGATGAATAAATACAGATACCTACTTTATTTCGAAATTCAATATTTGGATAACTATGACATTGTTGCAAAATCAAGGCGATCCTAGTGGTGCAGTGCCATGCAAAACATCTTGGGAACCCAATGGTCACATTGTCGATTTCAATTTGCCAACCATGTTTCACGAAATTTCGTCACAAACAAATACAGTGCACACATTTTCGAAAATGTGACTTTCCTTAAATTGATAACACTGTAAGTGTTACCTACCAATACAAATAGAATGCAGGGACACATTTTTTTGGGGGGCTCCCAAAGTACCAGGCTTTGTGCACACGTAAACAAAGGAAGACGACGAGTAGTACTGTGCTCAGCCTGTTCTATCGTCTTAATGTCCTAAGCATTTTAAATGATCCATGACCCAGGAGGTTCATGATGCGCTTTGGAGTTGTAGCCAGGCTGCCAGAAAGATATGGGATAGAGCCAGCCGTTTTCTTACTCCTCGCTAAATCTAGGCAGGTCCAGTCAACCGCTGAAGGCCTGTGTTTCAACGGGGCCCTACGAAGATGAATGAGTGCAATAAGCGAGCGCAGACTTTATTTTTATCCAGTGCTGAAAAGCACTACATTTCAAACGCGGCAATCAAAATCAAAACTATATGCCACTCCTTTCCATGACCAAAGATGCCCCTAATGCAACGCACGCAGTGTGGCATGCAGGGATTTTTGGAAGTACAGTGCAATCCACTTACAACGATACCACATATAACAATGTACCGTTTATAATGATCCGTTTCTAGAGGACCATACATTTTTGCGTGGGGTATCCAGCTAAAATACGACAATCGGTTATAATGACGGCATTTTTAGGTTTTCTCATTATCGTTATAAGTGGATTGCACTGTAGTCTATTATTTTTTGATCCAATTCACCAAACATAAATCAAAGCATGTAGGAACTTTGGCACATTCACCCAGTGCAACAGACGAATGAGAATGGTAGAACTGATTATGACGATGTGTTACAGTTACGACACCAGGACACTAAGTACAATATACAAGAGACTGTAAAGGAATTTTAATGCAGCTATACAGACATTAAGCAGGGGAAAACAGACATCAAACAGGGGCACAGACATCAAACAGGAGAGTGTGTTGCCAGGGATGACAATGTGCAATAAATAATATGATGCCCTGCACCACATTGCAGATTTCTTTCATTCTTTCTGGTATTTCAGTTTGTGCATTTGGTGCACGTTGCAGTGCCGTTTCTTTGCAAGCTTTTACTTTTGCGTGGGGCCAGCTGGAGGCGGGCTGCGAGCCAGGCGACACCACAAAGACCGCGGCCAGTTGTCAGCCGGTCGAACTGCCTCTGAAGGTTGAATATGGGGTTTGGAGACCCCTGCTCTAAGCGAACGAGTCTTTCACATTTTTGGAAACTGTACTCTAAGAGGACAATGTGACTACGAGCTACTCTCCACCACATAGCAACATGCATAGATCCAAAAGACACTGACACTCGTGTGCGCCGGCTGCACTTCGCCCGTGTCCGGGTGTACCTTGAGGGAGCCCGTCTTCTGCATGAAGTCATGCAGGAAGAGGACGTCGAGCATGAAGTCAGAGTTGCCCCCGTAGCCGGCCGGGACGTCGAAGGACTCATTCTCCTGGCCATCGAGCAGCTGCCGGAAGAGGTAGTTTAGCTCGTTCAGGCACGATGTCGTCAGCGCTAGCCTCCGGGTGCCATTGAGGACCACGTCTCCTGCCAAAGAGAGCGAGATCAGATGTCGGTTCCGGATGCAGCTTCGCAACTCTACACAATACAGAGTAATGACACTGAGAAGCCCATGGAGGTAGGAAGTATATGGAGGCGACATGACGCCACCAGAGGTGATGCCAGAAGTACGGAGGGACACCCCCCAATGATGACCGAAACCAAGAGATGCTATTGGACAAAAAGGAGAGATGACTTGGTGCCAACAGCTGTTTTGGTCACCATGAAGCACTGACTTGGTGCCAACAGCTGTTTTGGTCACCATCAAGCACTGACTTCGTGCCAACAGTTGTTTTGATCACCCTCAGGCATGGCTGGGGGTGACCGGAACAGCTGTTGGCACCAAGTCAGCTCTCCTTTTCATCCAATAGCATCTCTTGGTTTTGCTCATCGTAGGGGGCGTATCCGTCCACACTTCTGGCTTCACCGGTGGCATCATGTCACCTCCAGAAGCTTCCTACCTCCATGCTCTACAGAGTAACGGCACTGGAGCCATACTGGTCAGTAGAATCAATGGTGCTGGTTGTCACCATATTTTTCCAAAGTGCCCGATGGAAGGTGCAAGAAGTGCTTCATCGTCCTGCTTTCTGAAACAGTTTGCAACAGACCAAAACACTACCGGAATCTTCTCCTAACGCCGCACCTATCACTCGAAAGGTCGCACTTCGGAACCTTAACTGTTGCAAACAACGCCCGTGTGGTTTTGAGTACCAGAATGGCGGCACCCACCAGCCATTGGCTGGTAAACGAATCAAGCACGATGTGAATGGAAAATTGACCATCCTGGCGATGTCGAGAAGGTGGAAAAAAGGTGCCGACACACCGAGCGCAGCTTTTTAGTAAATTTTTTATGTAGCATATAGGGGCAAACGCAAACGCCATGTATTTTGCACTAGTGCTGCATGCTCCACACTGTGCATGCACTCTGCATACATATGTTTGCCATAGATTTTTACATATGTTTGCAGCGGCCTTCTGCGTGCCCTTGTTGCTGCTTTCGTCGTGCATGGGACAGTGCAAGATTTCCACGGGCTGAACAATGCGAACCATATCCCAAACTGCTATACAAAGCACATTCACAGCCAACACCAAAGAAAGAGATTCAGATTTAGGTAGTGATGGGATTGGCAGCATTGAATTGATTTGACCGAATACCGGCCTTCGATTGCTTTGAGCAGTTTATATGGGCACATATGAGGTGCTGCAACAGTAAGCGATTGCGTTCTGCTGTACTAAAAGAGCTGGTTTAACGCACTCTGCAGCTTGCATGCATTGTATGCAGTGCTCATGCAAGCGTCTTTATGCTATCCTAAAGCTCTGTGTCTCTAGGCCCCCGGTTACCTGTACTTTGCATGGGCTGAATCTGTGGCCAGCGGTAACGAGAAAAAATAAAAATAAATAAAGCAAGTGATTACCTGCAACATTCAATTAGCTAACTGCGCAGCATTACACTCTCCTTTCGCTGCCGAAAATTAGCAGGAATAACTAGGAGCACGTGAGAGACGCAACTTTTTCAATCCAATAACCTCAATCAAAACTTTGACAGCATTTTACTTGTTAAGATAGTTTTTCAGCAGTATTGTGGTCTCATTGCCGACTTCACAGTGCAGATATATCACACACACGCTAGTATTTAAGACAAACACACAACATACACACCACACTGAACTCACAACCCTATTTTGTATTTCATCTTTGTTTTCTTCTCCATCTGCTAAAAAAATGAAGACCATAATCTTTAACAAGATGATGGTCTTTTTTTTTTTGTAACTGTTTGTTAAATTATGTTGAATTTCACTTCTGATTCCACAGTTATGGATTGTTGGGCTGTAATGAATGTTTCAGAACAGGGCGTCTTCTCAAGTGCTATTTAACCACAGAAAAAGCCGTAAACACAAGCCAACGAAACTTTCGTGCAATAAAACTTTTGCAAAGGTGGTGCATTTATCATACTAAAATTTTGTGCGCGTAGGCATCTTGCAAAAATGCAATAAAAGAAAAATGTGTTATTTCTATGCACAGCGAGAAGAAAGGAAACAAACTGCCTGGTTGATGCTCAGATCTGCCTTAGGGTGTCATCTCAAAGAAGCTTGGAAGCTTTTGTTCCATGTAATACCATGCCTAAGAGGCAGTCGAAACCAGGCAGTCTGGCCCCGATTTTCTTCCTGTGCATGGAAATAACATGATTTTCTTTTCATGTATTTTTGTTGTTTTGTCAGTTTAATAATTTTTGTGAAAAAAAAAATAATTTTTATTTACGTATGTTTTTTTAATGACTGTTTGTACAGGGTGCCTTTGAGCACCCTGTACAAACAGTACATTAAAACTTGGGTTTGGGCTAGTTGGTCCATTACTGAATAAAAGGTTAAAAAGCGCGAACAAACGAGGACAATAAAGAAACACGGACGACAGGACAGGCGCTTCTGAAAAAGGAAGGAGCCCAGTGCAGAAGAAATATGTTGCATTAAAACTTGGGTTTGGGCTAGTTGGTCCATTACTGAATAAAAGGTTAAAAAGCAGTACAGCACCAACAAACTAAAACATCAAAAACCAAAACTTGCATATAAAAAAAAAAAATTATTTTGTGACGTTCACATATTTCTGTAACGCGAAATTAGAGCGCAGCTCTTGAGGAGGAGGAAGAGGGGAGGGTATGGAGGAGAAAGTATGCCCCTCCTCCTCCTTTCCTGCTCCTCCTCTTCTCTCCTAATTCTCGTTCTCCGTACCTTCCCTTACTTCGCACGTGACAATTTTCCCGCTAAATCTAGTGAAAAAACTGAATTTGTTCATAGGTGACGTGACACTAAGTCATGTGACGTCATTTTCCCCGCTAAACTTAGCGGGGAACTGAATTGCTGTTGAGGTCATGTGACATCAATTAATTTTCTCGCTAAATCTGGCGAAGGAACTGAATTTGTTCATAGCTGACGTGACACTAACGTTTTTAGTTTAGCTCAGTTACAGAACTGCTCCTAGATGCTGCTTGCACGAGCAGTACCCCCTCACTCACCACGACTCGCCAGACAGCTGCTATGTCAACTGCAGTGTATTCTGTGGATCAGAATGAAACCTTGGGCATGTTGGTAAGGCATGATTATTTAAATAGTACGACAAAAAAGACTGGACGGAAGAAAGGAGACAAACACTGACTGTGGACGACCCCTTTCTTCTAAGAAACTCCAACCAACTCATTGGGCTTTGAAATGAACATACCGTTAAATACCGGCCAAGCCCACTCAAAGTTTAGAAATAATCGCAAGAGAATGGGGGATGGGCGCTAGTCCGGTCATCAGTCTTACATATAAATGTACTGCGCATATTTCCTCAGATCTTACAAATTTGGGAATGGGCGCTTAATGTAGACTGGGCGAATATGCAGTATTCTACGGTAATGACAAAAGCTTCAATGCATGCTCTTTGGACATCAAAGATTTATTTTATTTGCTACCCCACGGGAAATCACTTTTGTGTGTCGAGGAATGCATAGATAGGTTTGGGTCAGCCGCCTTCCAGAATGAGACAGGCGTGTCAGTGTGTGCAAAGGTGTGTGCATAGGGTCTTGCATCACCCCCCCTCTCAGCGACGTATACCTCACACATCACGACAAAGATCTTTTTAGCCTTTTAGACGGTTCAAATGTGGTAAACATTTTTAGATACGTTGACTATCTCGTGCTTTTAGATAGTACCAAGCATGATGTGACCCACTTGGTGTCAAGTGTATTGTCTGTGATTAGTGACTGCTTGGCCCCATTGGGTCAGCTCTTGGGGACTACCGTCTACATAAGTCAGCAGGCACCATTTCGGCGCTGGGGTGTGGAACCGGCATCATGTTGGTGCCGCGATTGACAAGCACTCTTCTGCTGACGCAGGTTGGTTTCTGTCCTGCACATTTTTATGTCTATGTCTTGCCGGTTCCACCCCATGAGCTGCATGCATCAATGAGTGCTTGTCGAACGACGACCAACTGTGTCAGGCGGCGTTTTCTGTTACTCAGAAATTATGCGTTTTACTTTTTGCTTTTACTTCTTTGCGGCGATATTGAATTGAACCCTGGCCCTCAGGTGCAGCTAAAGGGACTGCTGGATGGGCAACAGCGTCTAATGGCCAAATTAAATCAAATCGAGGCAAACCAGGCATCGGCCGATTCCAGACTGAATGACGTGTGCAACCGTATAGGATCAGTGGAAGCGAAAATTGATAAACTTGACAATATACAGACTGTTTTTCAAGAGTATAAAGAAAAATGTGACGCACAACTTACGCAGATACAAGCTCTGTCATCCCGGGTAGAAACTCTCGAAAATCGTAGCCGCCGCAGTAATCTGATTTTTTATGGATTCCCTGAATCAAATGCGAAAGAAACCGCCGCTGCTTGTGAAGAACTTGTTACGAACCTGTGCCACACTCGTTTAGGCGTAGATGATATTCTTATCGAAAAGGCATACCGGCTAGGCAAGCAGTCTACTGATCGTAACCGACCAATCTTTGCAAGTTTTTGTTTTCTGAAAGATAAAAAAAGAATCATGTTTAATGCTCGCAAACTAAAAGGTACAAATTTAAGCATCTCAGAAGACCTCTCCGAATCTGTTCGTGTTGTAAGAAAGCAATTATGGCAATATGCGAAGGCTCACCGTCTACCGGATAGCAAAGTTGTGCTAAAACATGACTGCTTGCTCCTAGATGGGGTCAAATTCACTTGGGATGATGAGGCAAAGCTGGTGATTCAGCATTGACTACCTAATAACCGCAAAGAATGTCCAATAAACATAACCCTTGTCAACTGTAGAAATGTGAAAAATAAAGTAGATGAGCTACGGCAGCTTGTAAACATGACTCAGTCACAGGTTGTAATCGGGACGGAGTCGTGGCTAGGCGAAAACGTTCTCGATCGAGAGGTTTTCCCTGACAATTACTTATGTTATAGAAAAGATAGAAATTCCTACGGAGGGGGTGTTTTTATTCTTGTTCATGAAAGTATTGTTTCCA